GCATTTACTCTGGTAAAATTTTAACTTAGGATAATGAAAGAAGTATTATAGTTGAATTTCATATGCTTCTAATTTTCTCTGAAACTTTACCATTTATACAAATTGTTCATTATTTTGTATTTTGTAATTATTTGGCTTCTGTAAGCCTTGGTTACCTTAAAATTGACTTCTTTACCCATTGCACAGCTTTCTACATAATTCATCTAAACAACATTTATATATTCCATGTGTCCTGCCCTGTAATATCTCTCTAAATCCACTTAATCTTAGGTTATCTTCTAAGAGTTATGTGGTAGTTTGCTATCCTTTTAAAGGATTTTTAAAATATATCATTATGTGATTCCATTTTGTCCTTGATTTCTGAAACCCTATCTTCACATTAATATTTTTATCAACATAATCATTTATCCCTCAATTTTTGTCGAAGCATTTTGCTGTATCACATATAGTTTGATAGTTTTCAATTTAATTTAGTTCAGTAGGCTATCTGCCTAGTTTTCTTAAAGCTTCTCTTTTAATCATGGGTTCATTAGAAGTGTGCTGTTTATTTATTTATTTATTTTAGTGCCAGGAAGTAAATTGAGGACCTTGTGCTTGCCAGACAGGTGCTGTGCCACTGAGATATATCCCTGGCCCAGAAGTGTGCAATTTGTAAAACAAGATTTCCTATTTCCTTTTATTCAAGATTTCTGGTTTGATTTTGTTGTATTCAGATATAGATATTAATAATTCAGTACTTTTATATTTATAAATATTTATTATATTTGACTTAAAATATGGCCATTTGTTGAAAGTTCCATATTTGTTTAAAAGCAGGTATATTCTGCTATTCTTGGATGGGTTAATTTTGAAATGTCATTTGAGTCCATTCAGTTAATGATATTTTTAGTTATTCTAATATTAATTTTTTATATGTGATAAGTCTGTCAGTGACCAAAGAGTTCTTTCAGGGTTTTACCTTCCCAAATTTAAAATCTCTATTGCGTGCTATATACATATTTAGAATTACTGTGCCTTCTTGGACTTTGTTATCATCAAGCAATGTCTTCTATTTTTTATGGCAATTTTCTTTAATATAAACCTCATAATTTTAAATTCCACATAACTTTTTATGACAAATTCAATGTATAATTAACGAGCTAAAGAAATATAGAAAATAGAAAATTGGGGTATTAATCTTTGGTAAATGGAAATGAAGTTGTTATAGAAAGATGGTGTAGGGAAGATAGGGAAATGGGAACAAAAAGAACTATATTAAATTATATGCACGTATCTACACTCTCCAGTGAGTGTAATGAATATGTAATAAAATGTACTAATATTTTAAAAATATATTTTGTCTAACATTATTATATAACTAGTAGTGCTTCCTCTTGTTTATTGTTTGTAATGTGTATATACTTGCATACTTTTTTATTTGCATAATTTTACTGTTTTTATTTTAAGGAAAAAAAAACAAAGTTTCAAAACAAAATAATAGGGTAACAATGGTAATACGTTGCATATTGTTATCCTTAAATTAGTTAGTTGTTTGACACTTTTTATAGAGTTCATTTTTAAAAGAAAAAATTACCTTTATAATTTGAACCTCTTTAGTCAGCTCTTCTAATTTTTTCTTTGACTCTCAACCACATTGTTATATTTGTTAATTTATATCACGCTTATCCATTTATATCATGTTTATCTTCATTGAGTTTTTCCTTCCTCTTTCATCATTTTATGCAGCTCAGATATTTAGTGTTTGATTTCCTTTCTGTTGGTGTCCCCTGGTTCAGCTTTGCCAGAGTTGGATACTTTGTTTTTGTTTTGTTTTGTTTTGTTGTACTGAGGATTGAACTCAGGACATTGAGCTTCCTAGGCAGTCACTTATGCCGCTGAGCTAAATCCCCAACCCCAGAGTTGGACATTTTTGAAGGCACTTTGTTTGCTTATTTTTTTCACATTCCTCTGTGTGTGTGTGTATGTGTGTGTGTGTTCTGTGTGTGTGTGTGTGTGTGTGTGTGTGTGTGTGTGTTCTGTGTGTGTGTGTGTGTACATTGAGGTTTGAAATGAAATAGAATGAAGACTTTGTTGTTGATATGAAGATTGCTTTAGGTTGTTTATATTTTCCAGTATTGTGATTGTGGCTTTAGTTTTCAAGAGGTTTTGTCTACCATTTAAATGTACTCATTTAAATGGCAGTGGAGCCAGTCACTGTGTTGTAAGGAGAGAATTTCTACTGGTTATAACAGCATCCACAGATCCTACCATATATCAGTCATAAACATTAAAATTTATTTTGACAGTTTTTCCCATTCTTTAATTTTAACTTCTAGAATGTAATTTGCTGCTACTAGAGTTTAGTCTGAGGAGTGGAGAGAAGAAGAAAGGAATAAGGAAGGTAAAAGGAAAGGAGTAAGTTAGTAATAACAGAAGTAGATAAAAGAAATGTTTTCTAGGTAGAAAGCAGGAGTACAGAGTCTAAGTGTTATTTTTATAGCTGGAGTAAGGGTTAGTGTTGAGGGGGATTTCAGAGAACACTTGTGGTGGTCGGCGGAAGAGGGAATGATGCAGAGGGAAAGAAATATCATTACAGATTGGAAGAAATTCTGTGATCATCAACACATGTTAATATATTTATAGCTTATTTTGCACATAAGGGTTATTCCAATATGCCTTTGAATGGTGCTACTCATAAAAGTCTAGTCTATTCATATTTTAATATATATATGTATATATATATATATATATATATATATATATATATACACATACACACACAAACACATATATGGCATAAAAAGAGAAGAGGAAGAGAGGACGGATGAGGGGACTGGAAAATGAGGAAAAGCAAAAGAAAAACAATAGAGAGGCAAGAATGATAAAAAAGAAAAATAAGAAGATACACTAGAATAAAGGAAATAATATGTTGTAAAGCAGTATGAAATGAATAAAAGAAAAATAAAAATAAATACAAAGATAACTCATAACAGACAACAAATGAATGAAGCACTCCCCTTATATCCACTGTACCTATAGTCAGAGTGTCTACACAGTTGCCTTCTTATTGTGGCCCTTACTTAGTTGCAGGCAGCCAAATGGATTTTCCCTCAGGAGACTGCATAACTTCCTGCCGTGGATTGATGAGGGCCTGCCTCCTACATGGAAGCTGTGCTTTGGGCATGGCCAATTGAAGACCCTTGTCTCTGTTTCTACATCTGACCATGTTTTAGGAAAGAGAGGATGTGATGTGCTTTGTCTAATCCATGGTTCTTTGTCATCTTTTCTCGGTGATCTCCCATTCCTGATCCCTCCCTTGCAGGGCAAATCTCAAGCTCATGTCAAAGTTCTCTCTCCAGGCATCTTGTTATATCTTACTGGATATACTTCTAGAGCTTTGTACACTTGTGGGTGGGGCTTTTGGGAGGTTACTGGACTATGAAGGTTTTTGTTGTTTGGATTGGGCAAGTCTGGTTAGAAGAGACATATAACTGTGGACATTGCCTGGAAAGGTCTGTCTACTTTTCCTGCTCCTCTTTGCTCTCTCTTTCTGCTGCCTGCTGCCATACCATAAGCAATTCTCCTCTACCATGCCCCTCTGTACTGCTTCCCAGCCTTGAGCTAACTATGTACTGAAACCTCTACAAACCGTATGCCAAAATAAATCTTTCCTCTTTTAAATTTTGGGTTTCAGCTAATGTGTCTCAGTGATGAGAAAATAATTAAGACAGGCCTTCTGCCCAATATTACCAAAAGCCCCCTGCCCTAGGTGACTCTCTTTTCCTTCACTCTCAGATCTTTAACCATTCCTGCTCTATGACCCTAGAGCCCCATTTTCCAACCTGTGGAATTTGGCACAGTACTTAGATTTAGTGGACTGGTTCCACTGCCTTTGTGGGATGGTAGGCAGTGGGAATGATTTTAACATGTGTTGGATTTCTCTGGTGATTGGAGAAATGGTAGAAAAGCATCCATTCTGCTCTGACTCCCTTGACTCTCTCTTCCTTGTGTCTCCAGGAGTACATGACCTGTGGCTCCCCGCCAGCAAGAATGGTTCTGCCCACAACTTGTGCTGTTCAGCTTTTGTCTGTTCATTTTAGGAGATTACCTTCGTTTTTTTTTTTTTTTTTTTTTTTCAGCAGTGGGTAGGGTGACACAGGGCCATAGTGTTCCCTGGTGTTTGAGAGGGTGAAAGGGGGCCAGATTGCCTATGATTGTATTGCCAGCTTTCCTTTGCCTGGTTGCAGTCTGTAACTTTCCTGGAGCCCCAACTGTAAATTCCCATGCTGTGTTTTGTCTTCCAGGTAGGACAGAAAATATGTAGGAATCCTACTCCACTGGCATGCAGTGCTGTCTCTTTCTTTCAGGATTTTAAAGTTGCTCCCAAGGTGATATTTCCTAAGAATTGCATGTGTGTGGTTGGGGGCAGCAGACTAGGATTGTCTCTGCTTTCTTTTTTCAACAACTTAGATATTTGGTTCAATCTAGATAATTTATCTTTCAGGTTAATTTTCTGTGTCTGGGTATATTTGCCTTACCCCATTTTCCAAGGAGTTTAACCTGTGTCTCTTATCTGAGCTTCTCCAACATAGCTCCTTCTGTACTTGGTCATGTTGAAAACTCTCTCTTGAGCACTTAAAGGGGAGATTTTTGGCAGTGCTTGATGGATGAATTACTCATTTCTGTAAATTATGAGTAAGTTAATAAAATAATTTTATTGGGAATAGAGAGGTTAGTTGAGTGTTCCAAATCAGTGTGCTGTGTTTTGTTTTACTTTTTTGTCATACAACTTTCTGTATATTTAGAATATATTCATTTTGAAATTTAGGCAAAAATTTTCAGACACCAAGTTATAGTAATTAAGTAAAAGTTATGTAATTATTTCTGTTATTTTAGTGATTTTTTTCAGTGTCATTTTTATATAAATGACATTTTGATGAAAATACATTTTGAAACCACACAAAATAAATGAATGTATTTGCCAACATTAAATGCAGTTATTTACTTTTTCATTTTTTCAGGTCCATCTATTCTTAACTTTGGTAATATTTGTGTGAAATCCACAAATACTCATTCACTGCATATTATTAATATGCTACCTATGCATATTTGGATTCAGTTAAATATTGACTTTGAAGAACTCCAGAATACTAAAATATTTTCATATGTGATTCCACCTACATGCAGTACTCATATTCCAATAACATTAGAAACTTCTAACACTGGAAAATTTTGGAGGTAAGATTTTATTTTTCAAGTTTCTTATTTTTAGAATCATGATAGAGTATGAATCTATGTACCCAAATAATTGTAGTATATTCTATATTTGATTCCAAAATATAGATCTATATGTACATCAGTTTGTGGACTCAGTTATATTTTAGTAATCATCCTCTTTGCTTTCATAATAATTTTGAACTATTGTAAATTATGAATTAAACATGTATATTAATCGACAATACGTACATTTTTGTAATAACTGAATTCTGTAACTACAAAGATCTGTTTCTAGTTAAATTTGGATTACTTTGTTGTGTTGCAGATCTTTCAGCTATACAATAAACAACATACCTGCTGGGCACATTTTAGTGACAGCACAAGCCCTGCCTGTAAAACTAGAGCTATCTTCAGATGAGATAGAGCTGAGACCACGAGGCTTCTTGTTGAAAACATGTTTCTGGGGAACAGTTAGGTTGTATAATCATCAGAATAAGTCCGCCCAATTTGGATGGCAACCTGTAAACTCATTAAAAGGGATAGCATTTTCCATTCGTCCAGCAAAAGGTAATGGTTGATTCTATTCATTTGATTGATACATGTACTTAATTAACTTATTCAATAATTTATGCTTTTGGGCATTTATCATTTTCTGTCCATTGGGCACTTGTTCTTAAAACATGGAAATAGCCTTGATAACTGTCTTTAAGGACATTTATTTTTGCATACATAAATATGATTTGAAAGTATGGCTGCTGTAATAGTTAAGATTCTTCAGAGAAACAAAACCAACAGGAGACAGATATAAAGATGGAGGTGGAGATGGAAATGAGAAATACAGATATTTTTAGTAGCTGGTTGCACATCTGTGTGTTCTGGTAAGTCTGAATTTTCGAGTGCATCTTGGATCCTCAGAAAAGAGTTGATGGTGTACTCATTAAGCCAAGGGAACTCTGGAGGCAGAATTATATTTTTCTCAAATTATATTTTTCATCTTTTAAGGCTTTCATTTTATTGGGTAAGATTTGCCAAAATTATGTAAAGTAATCTAAATATTAATTTTCTGATGATAGTTATTACACATACACACATGTAACTTGACAAAATATAGTACTTTTAATATATATGATCTTTGTCAATGTTTTTAAAAGTTTACAGATTTAAATTTTAGTTACATCTAAGTAACACATACACAGTAAAATCTAGATTGGGATTGACCAAATAATGGAGAATCACATCATGATTATATTGACAAATAAAATTAACAACCACCAATTTTAATGGACACAGTGATTTTTTTAATTTAGTTTCATATGATAATTATGAAGAAACATGATTTTGAATAACTTAAATTTTTCGTGATTGAGGGTTTTTGAAAGGTTGGCAAGTTATTTATAGTAAATATTTGGTACATCTAATGCAGCTAATAAAATTAAGACAAAATTGTCATTTAATAAGAAAATTAAAAGAGAAAAGTCTCAGACTTAGTGTTTTGGATGTTCATTTATAGTTTTCTGTGTGGATGTGGTACTGGGAACTGAACCTAAGGCTTCACACTAAATTATGTCCCCAGCCTTGTTTTAATGTTGATTTTAGGTTTTGAGACAGAGTCTTATTAAGTCACTAAATTTCTCAGGCTGTCTGGCATCAGTCTTTCAATCTTCTTTCCTCAGCCTCTCAGAGTGCTGGGATTACAAGTGTGCACCACTGTACCCTACAGTTCTCTGTATTTTTTAACCATCCTCTTAACTTTGCTCCTGCTGTTCTTTGGAACTTGAAATTTCATATATCAAGTCTGTCACAAAAGCGACTTCGGTAACTGTTAAATTCTGACTTGTACCAAGCAGCCTATCAGAATTGTCAATCCTAATTGTGATGTACTGTGAGAAACTTATGAAGACACGTGGTACCATTTATGCAAATGAAATGGCAAGTTATAAGTGAATGATCAATTTTTCTACAGGTGCCTTGCCAGGTGGATAGAAAGAAGTTCATCTTTGTAGTTGCAGTGGCTTATGTGGTGTTTTATAGGAAACTGAAGTCTAATTCTGTATGAATGGAAAATAACACAAAATTTGAAGTGTGGTGGACTTGATCTTAAAACTGATGTGAGCTTCTCACTAGTTATTTTATCTAGATCAGACTACTCTATTAGTAATAGTTTCCCTCTCTTTAAACTGGAGGCATAATATAGATCATAAAGATTAAACATATAGAGACAACTCAGTGTGGGAAAATGTTTTTTGCCAGCTTTTCCAAGGACAAAGCACTGCCATCTAGAATATATAAAGAACCCAAAAAATTATGCTCCCCAAAGTTGAAAATTCAGTCAAAAATAGGCATTTGACATAAATAGGCACTTCTCAGATGAAGAAGTAGAAATGGCAAAAACATGAAAAAATTATACATCACTGGTCATTCGAGAGATGTAAATTAAAACAGTGCAGAGATTTCATCTCACTCCAGAAAAAATGACTGTTATTAAGAAATCTACTAATAGCAAATGGTAGAAAACACATAGGGGAAAAGGAACCCTTCTCTACTGTTGGTGAGAGCATAGATTGGTGCACTCACTATGGAATTTCCTCAGAAAACTACTCCAGAAAACTAGGACTAGTATTTCCATTGGACCCAGGTTTTCTCCTTCATACCACAGCAATATATGCATGCTTTTGCTGATAGTGGCACAGTTTGTAATACTTAAATTTTAGAAATACACCAAATATCCATCAAACAATGAATAGATAAAGAAGATGTGTTTTTTATAGAATGGAGAATTACAATACCATAAAGAAGAATAAACTTGAGACATTTTTAGGTAAATAGATGTACCTTGAGAGCATAATCATAAGTGAAATAAATTTGAAACACATACTAAATACTGCATTGTATCTGTGATGTGAGAAAGTGTAAATGAGAACTAAAATGTATAATACATATTTTGAGGTAGGAAGAAATTGTTCAAATAAGATGGGGAACTAGGGCTGAGGGATGGGGAATGGAAGGAAAGTAAAAGAAAAATAATATGATAAAAGAATGAAAAATGAATTTAAAAACCTATGCAAATAAAATGGAGAGAGAAATTGAGAGGGTGAGCAAATGGAGAAAAAGAATAATCAAGTTAAATTATGTGCAAGTAGAAATCCCCTATAATATATGTGTTCTTTATGTATGTCTGAAATGTACCAATAAACTTAACTAATACATTTTTAAAAGGTTAAACACATAGAAAACTTCTATAATGCCTAACAGATTATACAATTATGTGCCAAATAAATAGATCACTGTGTGATTGAGAAAATTGTATAATTGTTTCTCCTTTTTCCCACTGAAATTTTCTGAATAATAGCCTCTTGTGCATCTTGCCCTCTATCTCTGAGTTCTTGACTTCCTGTTTCATTCCTTCCATCTTTATTTTCTTTTGTCTTCTATTTCCAATTTACAAATAGTCATTATTTAAGATCTAAAAATACTATATTTCACATCATGGAAGTGTTTTGGTTTGTAGAACTGATGCATTCACTTTATTATCAAGTGAATATGAGTCATTTTCAAATATATATTTTTGTATATTTTATAGGTTTTTGTAAAAGGACATCACAAAAATATTCATGAGTATTAAATTAAATTTACTCACATTGAATGTATTGGTGCAAATGTTGATTAAATTTAGCAAGTTGAAGAACAGGTCTGTTCTTTTATTAGAGTTGGAAATTGTTGATATGCCTGTATTAACCTGGATTGATTTAACACTACCTCAGGTCATAATTAAATATATGAGGTAAACTTTTATCAATATTTTCCATATTTCTTCGACTAAGTAGGGTAATACTGATAATATGGAGTTCCACTGAAATAAAATAATTATTGAAGAAAGAGATCATATTTCCATACATTTATGATATTCTGAATATACCTTAATTTTGCTTGAATAGTAATAGTATTCCAGCTACTGGCCAGTGCTCTGGTATTTTCCCAAGGGTGCCTAAAAAGCACAGACTGTTAATGTGCTTTCGTTCATTTCTCCATCAGGACTAACTGAACTGGTCTCGCCCTTGTTGTTGCTTTGGAAATCCAATGATGATGACTTTTTTGAAAAATATAGGTAGATTTACAGTATTTATTATAAACTGTCTCACCAGTTATACTTCTTTTGGCTTTAGAAGCATTACTGTTAAAAGTGAGATTTCAGTATTTAATTTTTTTCCCTTTGAGTTGCCAATGCCCTGAGACATTGCTTTTAACCAAACAGTGACCAAATCATAAACTCACAATTACTTAATTCCAAATAAAATGTTTATGTAAGTAATATATTTAAGTTGATTTTCTATTCTATGAATACAAATAATATAGCACTTGAATCTATTTTGCATGGTTTTTAGGAATATGTGTATTACATTGATTTGCATGTATACATAAATTTGTTTTCAGAAATCAGATAATACTTAATTTTATATTATTCATTGCATCATTGCATCATTGCATCATTGCATGAAGAGAAAGTGATTATTATCAGGCTACTTTCCTTAGGCTATAATTGATTCTACATCCCGGGCATGACATTGAATCATATTCCTTTATGTCTTTTTAAAAAGTAACATGATAATTCAAAAACGAAGACTTATTTTGTGTCTGTCCTTTCTCCCTGACACATGGTGTATTTTGTGTTTCAGTTTAGCCTACATCTATTCTAAGTGAAGAAAATAAGTGCAAATTCATGCTTTGTGAGCTAGAAGTAATTTTTAATTTATTTTTACATAGTTCTTAAACATGTATCTGTTCTGTTTTCTGAGAGAGAACTGACTTTAAAGTTGATCTTTTCTATAGGTATTATACATGATTTGTTCATTATTCTTTGCATTCTGTGTTTTTGATAAAACACTGACTCAATATTTGAACCTGTCCTTGTTCATTTTATTCTCATCATATTTCTCACTTATGAAGCACATGCCCTAGTAGCCCCAAACTTGCTCAGTTCAGGCATCCACTGTCTTTTGCTGTACCCTGATATATATAAGATTTCTTAAGAGAAAAATGTAGATAATCATGATGCTTGGAAGGAAAAAATCCCCCTCAAGTAGAGCAGCCAGAATGGGTGTATAAGCCTTTTACTAGTTTCACCTTTTCTTTTTTTTACTTTTCTTTTTTTATTTAAAGAAAAGGAAACAAAAAAATACATGGAGATTAAAAAAAAAAGGGTAGAAATAATACAAACTTACAGAAAAACAAATGGTAAGAAATTGCTGGTTGATAAGTTACACATTGTAATCTTGGAAATAGCTGTTCACGTTATAGAATTAAAGTATTTAGAATGACATCCAAAAAGTGACACTACAAACCGTTCTGCTCTATGATCGAACAAAAGCTCAGTAATATGGTTATCAGTCCTACACATTTGTTTTACATCTCAAAGAGGGTAAGATTAAACATATCAAAACAGAACAAAGCAGTTAAAAAAAATTTAAAGAAATACAGATTTCAAAGTGAGTCCACTGGAGATCTTCATTGTCTATCTAACTGTCTCTAGTTTCTTACAAATAGTTGTCCCCATCTTCACCCACTTTATA